GAGCGCGGACTCAGCAGCGAGATTGCCAGCCGTCTCTACAACACCGGTGTCCCTCTGCCCAAGGCCTATGGAGCGTTCAAAGCCTGGTGCATCAACATCGAAGCCAATGCTCTGCGTGACCAGCTGCGCAAAGCGTCGTATGGGCACCCCACACAACGACCACCTCCCCAGTTCCGTCCCCAAACGACACCAGTGGCGCCCACACCCGCTCCGGCCCGACCCGCTGCCAACGAACCGGTTCCGATGGAAATCGATCGTACCCATGCCCGCGGCCGCAATATCATCTGCTACAACTGTCAGCAGCCCGGGCACATTGCGCGGAACTGCCCGGAGCCCAAGAAGAAGCGCACGTTCTTCAATCGGGCCACAATGCTGGAAGAAATCGAGAACGGGGACAAGGACAACGAGTTCCTGAAGGAGATTGCCGAGAAGCTGCGCGAGAAGGGTTTTTGAAGCGCTCCACTCCTCTAGCCAAGGAGGTGGAGCGTCCGGACTATGGACGATTTTCTGTACTTGTTTCGATTAAAGATACGGACAATATTTCATCTACATACACGATCTCAGACTCACTACGTACAAATATTCACGATTTTCTTATTGCCGAGATGGAAAAAGAACGCCAGGAAAAGATAGCTCTAAATAGAAAATACCTACAAGATAAAAAAGATCAGAAAGCTGCAGATAAATTATTTTTGGACTCCTACGTATTTATGGCTCATGGAGAAGGAACCACGTCAACAAAGACCGAAAAGGGGAGCATCGCTCCGAAGGCTCGATCCTTGGAAAAGGAGGAAGCGCCCAAGGAATCTGCCAAAATCGAGGTTCCAGGAGCACCCAAACGCACCAGGGTGCCAGATGCCATCCAGAGGAAATTGGCGGCCGAGAAACAGAAGGGCCCGCAGCCCAGCAGACTGGCGCAGGAATTGCGCAGTTACCAGGCCGAAAGGAAGAGGCATTCAATGGACGTATATGTCCAGATCACGGGACTGGACTTGGGAAAAACGCGCGGAGTCAAGGCGCTGCTCGATAGTGGCTGCAGTACCTGCTGTATCGATACCGACTACGCACGGGCGGAGAAGTTGGATATCCAAGAGCTCCCACAACCCATTGTCGCTCGTAATGCCGACAACACCGAGAACATCAGCGGTCGGATCACGCACTACGTCGACTTGAGAATGAGAATCGGTCCTCATGTGGAGACACGCACGTTCCTTCTGACGTGTCTGGGAAAAGCCCGGATCTTCATCGGCCTGGATTGGCTGACGGAACACAACCCCGAGGTGGATTGGCAGGAGCAGACAATGAGATTCAGCCGATGCCCAGAGCAATGTCAAATGAGGGGTCACGAGGAGCACCAAGCGATGATTGACATGGATGCAATTGACCTGGACGCGGGTGCACCGGATCTGGAGGAGGGAGAATCGATCTTGTTGATCGACTTTGGAAAGGAGGTAGACCTACGGCTGAAGGAAACGCCGGCGCAGAAATTCGCAGAAGAAGCGGAAAAGGAGAAGGAGAGAATGACCGAGGGAAAGATTCCAAATCAATACCGAGAATTCGTCAAAGTATTCGCCAAGGAATCATTCGACTCGCTACCGGACCGACGGGCATGGGATCATGCGATCGAGCTCAAACCAGGCTCCAAAGCAGTGGACTGCAAGGTGTACCCCTTATCAAGAAACGAGCAGGTCAAACTCGACGAGTTCTTACAAGAGAACCTAGCCAGCGGATGGATCAGACCATCAAAATCACCCATGGCATCGGCATTCTTCTTTGTCAAGAAGAAGGATGGCTCGCTACGGCCTGTTCAAGATTACCGGAAGCTGAATGAGATGACGATCCGAAATCGGTACCCGCTACCGCTGATTTCCGAGCTGGTCCACAACCTGTGCGGCGCCAAGTTCTTCACCAAGCTAGACATCCGGTGGGGATATAACAATGTACGGATCAAAGAGGGCGACGAGTGGAAGGCTGCATTCCGCACGAACCGAGGGCTGTACGAGCCCTTAGTTATGTTCTTTGGGCTCACGAATTCTCCGGCAACGTTCCAAAACATGATGAACGACATACTCCGGGAACTGATCAACGAGGGACATGTGGTAGTTTATCTGGACGACATACTAATCTTCACAGAAAATCTGGATGAACATCGACGAATCACCAAACGGGTACTCGAGTTGCTCCAAAAGCACAAATTATACCTGAAGCCGGAAAAGTGCGAGTTCGAACGCACGGAAATCGAATACCTGGGTGTAATCATTGGACACAACTCGATGCGGATGGACCCTGTCAAGATCAAGGGCGTGATGGAATGGCCGGAACCAAAGAGCGTCAAACAAGTCCAAGCCTTCCTCGGATTCACAAACTTCTATCGACGTTTCGTTCGGGGGTATGCGGAGGTTGCCAAGCCGTTGACGCGGCTGACAGGGAAGGCAGGATGGTCATGGGGTCCGGATGAACATGCGGCGTTTGATGGGTTAAAGAAGAGAATCGCGGAGGATGCCGTCTTAGCACTGCCAAATGACACCAGCCAATATCGTCTGGAAGCCGATGCTTCGGAAGGGGCAACAGGATCTGTTTTGAGCCAAAACCAAGACGGCATTTGGCGCCCAATTGCATTTATTTCGCATGCATTAACGGAAACTGAGCGAAATTACGAGATCTACGACAAGGAAATGCTTGCAATCATGTTATCGCTCGACGAATGGAGGCAGTTACTCTTGGGGGCCACAGAAACGTTTGAGATTTTCACTGATCATCAGAACCTCGAATACTTCCGGAAGCCACAAAAGCTCAACCGACAACAAGCACGATGGATCACAGAATTAGCAGAATTCGATTTCACCTTACGACACCGGCCCGGCGCACTCAACCGCAAGGCGGACCTCCTGTCTCGACGAGCAGATCACGATCAGGGCAAGAACAACAACAAGGATGTCACTCTGCTGAAACCCGAATTCTTCCGGTCACAAGAAGTCACATTCGAGGGGCAAGATCAGCAGCTAATCGATGAGATCAAGGCTACTCGATCAATTGATGGAAGCGTCAAAGCGGCCTTGGAGAAGTCACTCGTCGGATGGAAAAAGGAAGATGGGCTCATCACGTACCATGGGAAGCTCTACGTGCCGAGGAATGAGGAGCTAAGAGACAAGATCATCGGACTACACCACGACACACCTTTGGTCGGACACGCTGGGATCAACCGAACGCAGGAGATGGTGGAAAGGAACTACTGGTGGCCAAGGATGGGAAACCAAATTCGGAAATACATCCAGACGTGCGAGGCGTGCCAGCGGACCAAGACCAGAAGAGCCAGGACAGGGAGTTTGCACCCGCATGCAGTTCCAAACGCGCCGTGGGAAATCATCTCCATGGATCAGATCGGACCCCTGCCGGTCAGTAACGGGTATGACGCAATTCATGTGTGGTGTGACACCTTCACCAAAATGATCCATGTCGAACCAATTAGTACTGACATCAGCAGCGAAGGAGTAGCACGGTTAACCAGGGACCAAATCTTCCGCTATCACGGGGTCCCCCGCAAAATCATCACCGACAGGGACTCTCGATACATCAAGGGCTTTATGAAGGAAACGAATCGGATGTTGGGCGTGGAAATGAATCCGGGGACCGCATATCACCCCATCACGGATGGGCAGACGGAGCGTATGAATCAGGAGATCGAACACTATCTCCGCATTTACGTCAACTACCATCAGACGGACTGGTCGGAGTGGCTGGGAATGGCGGAGTTTGCATACAACGACAAGATGAACACGTCTACCAAAGTATCACCGTTCTACGCCAATCACGGATATCACCCATGGAAGGGAGTGGAACAACGGATGGAATCGAGGAACGAGTCGGCGGAGGAGTTTGTAAAAAGAATCAAAGAAATACAAGACGAAGCAAAAGCAGCATTGGAAAAAGCAAAAGAAAAAATGAAAAAATACTACGATAAACAAAGAAAAGAAGTTCCGGAGTTGAAGGTTGGGATGAAGGTGTACATAGAAGGGGAAAATATCGAGACGGATAGACCATCGAAGAAGATGAGCGACAAGAGATTAGGACCATACGAGATACTGGAGAAGGTTGGAGCGGCCGCATGGAAGCTGGATTTGCCGGACACGGACCGAAGACACCCGGTGTTCAACGAGTCACTGTTGACACCCTATCACGAACCACCCCCCCATTGCCGAGAGAAGAGACCCGTGGCCAAGATGATCGGAGGAGCAGAGGAGTGGGAAGTCGAAGAAATCGTGAAAGAGCGAAAAGTCGGCCGAGGAAAACAGTACTTGGTCAAATGGAAGGGCTGGCCGCATAGCGAAAATACTTGGGAACCATCACGTGCACATTGCGCGGAACTGCCCGGAGCCCAAGAAGAAGCGCACGTTCTTCAATTGGGCCACAATGCTAGAAGAGATCGAGAACGGGGACAAGGACAACGAGTTCCTCAAGGAGATCGCCGAGAAGCTGCGCGAGAAGGGTTTTTGAAGCGCTCCACTCCTCTAGCCAAGGAGGTGGAGCGCCCGGACTATGGACGTTTTTCTGTACTTGTTTCGATTAAAGATATGAACGATTCTCCTCATACATACACGATCCCAGACTCACTACGTACTAATATTCATGATTTTCTTGTTGCTGATATGGAAAAGGAACGTCAAAGGAAAATAACTTTAAATAGAGAGTATTTACAAAGTAAAAAGGATCAGAAAGCTGCAGATAAATTAATTTTGGACTCCTACGTATTTATGGCTCGTGGAGAAGGAACCACGTCAACAAAGACCAAAAAGGGGAGCATCGCTCCGGAGGCTCAATCCTTGAAAAAGGAGGAAGCGCCCAAGGAATCTGCCGAAATCAAGGTTCCAGAAGCACCCAAACGCACAAGGGTGCCAGATGCCGTTCAAAGGAAATTGGCGGCCGAGAAACAGAAGGGCCCGCAGCCCAGCAGACTGGCGCAGGAATTGCGCAGTTACCAGGCCGAAAGGAAGAGGCATTCAATGGACGTATATGTCCAGATCACGGGACTGGACTCGGGAAAAACGCGCGGAGTCAAGGCGCTGCTCGATAGTGGCTGCAGTACCTGCTGTATCAATACCGACTACGCGCAGGCAGAGAAGCTGGATATCCAAGAACTTCCCCAACCCATTGTGGCTCGTAATGCCGACAACACCGAGAACATCAGCGGCCGGATCACGCATTACGTCGATCTGAGGATGAGAATCGGTCTCTTCATTGGTCTTGATTGGCTGACGGAACACAACCCTGAGGTGGATTGGCAGGAGCAGACCATGAGATTCAGTCGATGCCCAGAGCGTTGTCACATGAGGGGTCATGAGGAGCATCAAGCGATGATTGACATGGATGCAATCGACCTGGAGACCGGTGCACCGGATCTGGAAGAAGGAGAATCAATCCTGTTGATCGACTTTGGGAAGGAGGTGGATCTACGGCTGAAGGAAACACCGGCGCAGAAATTTGCAGAAGAAGCAGAAAAGGAGAAAGAGAGAATGACCGAGGGGAAGATTCCGGATCAATATTGGGAATTTGTCAAGGTGTTTGCCAAAGAATTGTTCGACTCACTACCGGACCGACGGGCATGGGATCATGCGATTGAGCTCAAACCTGGTTCCAAAGAGGTGGACTGCAAGGTGTACCCGCTATCACGAAACGAGCAGGTCAAACTCGATGAGTTCTTACAAGAGAACCTGGCCAGCGGACGAATCAGGCCATCAAAATCACCCATGGCCTCAGCATTCTTCTTTGTCAAAAAGAAGGATGGTTCGCTATGTCCCGTCCAGGATTATCGGAAGCTGAACGAGATGACAATCCGAAATCGATACCCGCTGCCACTGATCTCCGAGCTGGTCCATAATCTATGCGGCGCCAAGTTCTTCACCAAGCTCGACATCCGATGGGGATACAATAACGTACGGATCAAAGAGGGCAACGAGTGGAAGGCTGCGTTCCGCACAAACCGCGGACTGTACGAGCCCTTGGTCATGTTCTTTGGTCTCACGAACTCCCCGGCCACCTTCCAAAACATGATGAATGACATACTCCGAGAGTTGATCAACGAGGGTCACGTGGTAGTCTATCTGGACGATATACTGATCTTCACAGAGAACTTGGACGAACATCGGCGGACCACAAAACGAGTACTCGAATTGCTCCAAAAAACACAAGTTGTACCTGAAGCCCGAAAAGTGCGAGTTCGAACGCACGGAAATCGAATATTTGGGTGTAATTATTGGACACAATTCAATGCGGATGGACCCAGTCAAGATCAAGGGCGTGATGGAATGGCCAGAACCAAAGAGCGTCAAACAAGTCCAAGCCTTCCTAGGGTTCACCAACTTCTATCGACGCTTTGTCCGGGGATATGCGGAGGTTGCCAAGCCATTGACACGGCTGACAGGGAAGGCAGGATGGTCATGGGGTACGGAGGAACATGCGGCATTCGATGGATTGAAGAAAAGAATCGCGGAGGATGCGGTCTTAGCACTGCCAAATGACACCGGCCAATATCGTCTGGAAGCCGATGCTTCGGAAGGGGCAACAGGCTCCGTTTTGAGCCAAAACCAAGACGGCATTTGGCGCCCAATCGCATTTATTTCACCCGCACTGACCGAAACCGAGCGAAATTACGAGATCTACGACAAAGAAATGCTTGCAATCATGTTATCGCTCGACGAATGGAGGCAGCTGCTCCTGGGAGCCACGGAAACGTTCGAGATCTTTACCGATCATCAGAATCTCGAGTACTTTCGGAAGCCGCAGAAGCTCAATTGACGACAAGCACGATGGATCACGGAGTTGGCGGAGTTTGATTTCACCTTACGACACCGGCCCGGCGCACTCAACCGCAAGGCGGACCTCCTGTCTCGACGAGCAGATCACGATCAGGGCAAGAACAACAACAAGGACGTCACGCTACTGAAGCCCGAGTTCTTCCGATCACAAGAAGTCACATTCGAGGGACAGGATCAGCAGCTAATCGATGAAATCAAGGCCATTCGATCAATTGATGGAAGCGTCAAGGCGGCCTTAGAGAAGTCACTCGTCGGATGGAAGAAGGAAGAGGGGCTTATCACGTATCATGGGAAGCTCTATGTACCAAGGGACGAGGAGTTGCGGGACAAGATCATCGGACTACACCACAACACCCCTTTGGTCGGACACGCTGGGATCAACCGAACGCAGGAGATGGTGGAAAGGAACTACTGGTGGCCAAGGATGGGAAACCAAATTCGGAAATACATCCAGACGTGCAAGGCGTGCCAACGGACCAAGACCAGAAGAGCAAGGACAGGGACTCTACACCCGCATGCAGTTCCAAACGCACCATGGGAAATCATCTCGATGGATCAAATCGGACCCTTGCCAGTCAGTAACGGGTATGACGCAATTCATGTGTGGTGTGACACCTTCACCAAAATGATCCATGTCGAACCAATTAGTACTGACATCAGCAGCGAAGGAGTAGCATGGTTAACCAGGGACCGAGTCTTCCGCTATCACGGAATCCCTCGCAAGATCATCACCGATAGGGACTCACGATACATCAAGGGCTTCATGAAGGAGACAAATCGGATGTTGGGCATAGAAATGAATCCAGGGACCGCGTATCACCCAATCACAGATGGGCAGACAGAACACATGAATCAGGAGATCAAGCATTATCTCCGCATCTACATCAATTACCATCAAACGGACTGGTCGGAGTGGCTGGGAATGGCGGAGTTCGCATACAACGACAAAATGAACACGTCTACCAAAATATCACCATTCTACGCGAATCACGGATATCACCCATGGAAGGGAGTGGAGCAGCGGATGGAATCGAGGAACGAGTCGGCAGAGGAGTTTGTAAAAAGAATCAAAGAAATACAAGACGAAGCAAAAGCAGCATTGGAAAAAGCAAAAGAAAAAATGAAAAAATACTACGATAAACAAAGAAAAGAAGTTCCGGAGTTGAAGGTTGGGATGAAGGTGTACCTAGAAGGGGAAAATATCGAGACGGATCGACCATCAAAGAAGATGAGCGACAAGAGATTAGGACCATACGAGATACTGGAGAAGGTTGGAGCGGCCGCATGGAAGCTGGATTTGCCGGACACGGACCGAAGACACCCGGTGTTCAACGAGTCACTATTGACACCATATCACGAACCACCCCCCCACCGCCGAGAGAAGAGGCCCGTAGCCAAGATGATCGGAGGAGCAGAGGAGTGGGAAGTCGAAGAGATCGTGAAAGAGCGAAACGTTGGCCGAGGAAAACAGTACTTGGTCAAATGGAAGGGCTGGCCGCATAGCGAAAATACTTGGGAACCATCACGTCACCTTACCCATGCAAAGAAGGTCCTGAGAGATTGGCAGAGGAAACAATCCAACCCAGACACACGCATTCGCCTCCTGCCAACGCTCGAAGCCGGACACTGGGATTATCTCATCCATCGCTACAAACCCAAAGACAAGCGCCTTCCATACCCCCAGCGACAACTCTTCGATCCCTACGAGAACGTCTTCACGCCCATTGGCCTAGTCGATGAGGACATCGACCCTAGAGAGGGGGTAATGTCATAATTCAGCCCTTTTTCATCTTGCTATCGACCATCTTATCTTACCTTGGCACGGCTTATCTTATCACGGATCACGGCATCAGGCGGTCTGGGTTAGGGGTTCCAGGGGTTATCCTTATCGATTCAAGGCTGCGCGACATATGCTCCAGAAGGTTCTACTACAACCCATGACCAGTGTTCCATGCGGTACATAGCCCTATGACTCATTAGTTGTAGATATGACCCAGACTGGATTTGGGTATAAATACTGTAGCTACTTGGTTGTATTCTCCAGTCTTCGAATTCACTTCTCTTTTCGACTTTGTTTTTGGGTTGATTGTCACAACAGTGCCTCTATCTGCCTGATGGATCATTCAAAGGCATGAAGGAGCTGATTGTCAATTGTCGTGCCATGGGTCATGATCTTCCTGATCCCGATGCATGGCTGCCCGGTGGCCGCAAACTCAGGGGAGAGTGCCCTTCTTTCAATTGTCAACACAAGCCCACAACTGCTTGCTGCATGAAGAAGATATTGTACTGCAAGCCAGATTTTCAAGCACAGCTGGGAATGCTCAAGGAACACTGCATGAAGAGAGGTTACAAGGTCATATTTTTCTCGAAATATCACCCAGAGCTGAACTTCATTGAGCAATGTTGGGGCTATGCAAAATGCATCTACCGGATATATCCTCGGACCACAAACAAAGAAGAGCTTGAAGCGAACGTCCTCAAGGCTCTTGAATCTGTTCCCATTGAGTCCATGCATTGCTTCTCTGTCAGATCCTTGTGCTTTGCTGATGGATATTATCACAGACTCAATGGGGCAGAAGCTGCCTGGGCTAATAAAAAATATTGAGGGCATTGGACACTTCCATCACAGTATTGGGAGGACCTAAAGAACAGAGATTTGTTGAAGTAATTACTTGTAATAGAGTTCTGGACTAAAAAAACGAGGTGTGAATTCAGACCGCCAGAATTTCGCGTTTCCCACATTACCTGTCACCCATCAGTCACGCTCACGTGACTTGATGGATGCGTTTGTCGCCTATCTTATGTGAAATGAATCAGGATCCAGAGCCTCTGTGTGCACGTGCCTGAGGCTTCCCAAAAAGGCAGCTTAGTCAGAAAAGTCAAGGGCAGAATGTTAAAATCTGGCAGAAAGTTGCAATCTAGATATTAGGTGCTGGGTATGATCCGAGTGCCCAATGTGTCACATATCAGATCCCTTAATTTTTTATGCCCTAATATATAGAATATAATTGATTCTTTATGAGCCCTGTTATTCGCAATCCCTCGGTGTGAGAAGCCCCCGATCAAAAGTTGTGATGGCGGATGTCATTCCGGGCATGCATCCATTCAGACACATGCCAAAGTGCGCTAGTGCAGGCTTAGTCATCTAATCACCTTCCTTACTCATCCATTGGCCTTGTTGGTTTTGTGACCCCCATGCCACGCTCAGGATTCGCCAGGCTTGATTGGAAGACGAGCCGTTTAACCGTAGCTGCTCTGGCTTACTAATGGGGATGTTGGAGCTCTCGTGGATTCATGGGGGACACTGGGGGTGCAGCTTTCACCAGCCATCAATTTCGCGTCAATCTAACCGGATAAGCAAGCATACAGGGCGACGCTGACTGAGGTTCAGTTCACATCGGCATCTCGAAGGGGGCGTCCCACTCTAAGTTATTTAAGCGCTAGGGGAATGGCAGAGCTGGCAACTCATCCTGCAAATTACCACTATGAAGCTCATCATCGTCGGCGCGACTGGTTTCGTTGGCAAAGAGATTCTGTCTCAAGCATCGAAGCATCCGAAAATCACCAGCATAGTCACAGTCTCGCGCAGTGCGATCGCGGCTCCCGAAGGCGTGGCGGCGGGCAAGTTCGAGAGCGTCGTCGTGAGCGACTACGACCAGTACACCGAAGAGGCGAAGAAAGCGTTTGCCGGGGCCAACGGATGCATCTGGTGCGTCATTACTATCGCTGATCGATGAACGAATCGCCGCTGACGACTCTACTCAGGACCGTGGGCCTCACGCCTCCCAAGTACATGGCACTCGGCCCGGAGGAGGGCAAGCGCGTGTCTTACACAGCGACGCTGGCTGGGTTGCAGGCGATCGCGGACTCGTCCCCCGCCAAGCCGTTCCGGTTCTGCTACATGAGCGGCGACGCGGCCGTCCGCGACCAAAGTGCCAAGCTTGAAGGCGAGCTCGCTGGGTTCCGCCTCATGCGCGTGAGTCTCCCGCCGTTATCGATTTGCGCGTATCGGTATTGATGGCCTTACTTGCGCGTTCAGGGCGACGTCGAGAATGACGTCCTCGCATTTGCGGCTAAGCACGCAGGCTTCGAGGCGGCCTCAGTTCGACCGGGACTGATCACTGAGCGCGCGAAACTCGAGGCGTCGCGCGAGTTTGCGAAGGGCCATGGCTGGCCGACTATTGTTCTCGAGGACTGCGTCAGCGCGATGTTGCACATGGTCGTCAATGGATTTGAGAAGGATCCGGTGTCGAATGACGAACTGACGGCTCTTGCGGGGCGAATCTAGGCGGTGTGGTACAAGCTCGCATTTGTAATACAAAGACACAAACAATTCTATGATTTGAGCTCAAACGTTCGTGTTGTCATGAGCTCCCCAGGCAGATCTCAGATTTCGACCATTCATACCCTGAGGGAACACAATTCCAGCCAGCCAATTCTTTCTCGTTCTGCTGAGTCCTCTATAAAGTCGACTCCGGTTCCCGAGTGGTTTTCACTCAATACGAGCTCGTGGGCTCAATATTGCGCCACGGCCAACTTGGATGGTGGGAATATTCACAATTATGTGGATTTTTCCGGGCGGCCAACCCAGTTGGGTTAAACTTGATATTGCAGACTCTACCGGATGTCAGGTGGCTAGCGAGCCTTTTGTCGCAAGGTCTTGGCAATTTCTCGAGTCCGATGGTTCATTATGTAAGAGGAAGACGGCACGCAAATCACTTCCTGAGTCAGCGCTGGGAAAGACAGGCGCGACACATGACAGGATCAAATTCAACGTGACCGCGTTCTGTCATAATGGAATTATGACCGGTCAGCTTGTACACGGTGGGGCGTCATCGCGAACTTGTCAGTCCGGCCTGCTTCCGCCGTTCGTCCAAGATAAAATCGACACCGACTGAACGACCATGTCCAAGCCACTAAGACTAGCTACTCGCCTCTCCTACATCTATACACCATGAAACTCATCGTCACCGGTGCAACCGGATTCGTCGCCACCGAACTGCTGCGCCTGGCGGCCAAGCACGCCGCGATCACCAGCGTGGTCACGGTTTCGCGATCGCCAGTCACGATTCCCGAGGGCGCGCCCGCGGGCAAGTTCACGAGCGTGATCGTGCCCGACTACGACCAGTACACCGAGGAGGCGAAGCGCGCGTTCGCCGGCGCTGACGCGTGCATCTGGTGCGTGGAGCGCGGCAGGATTTGCTGTAGCGCGGAAATAAAACCTCAGACCGAAACGCACACAGGACGGTCGGAGTCAAGACGCCCAACTACGCTAAAGTGGGGCACGAAGAGGCTGTGCGCATTAGCCACACGGCCACGCGCATCGGGATGCAGACGATCGCGGCCGCGGGACCCGCGACGCCCTTCCAGTTTCTCTACATGAGCGGAGCGACGGCCGTCCGGGACCAAAGCACGAAGCTGGAAGGACCTTCGTCCCGGTCCCACCTTATGCGCGTGAGAATGCTGCGACTGGCACGTGTTTTTGTGGCGCTCACACACAGATACCGTATTGCAGGGCGACGTCGAGAATCTCGTGCTCGCTTTCGCCGCAGAGCACGCAGGCTTCAAGGCGGGCTCCGTGAAGCCGGGACTGATAAAGAAGCGCGCCGAGTTGCCGGAGCTACTGCCCACGGCGGAGAAGAACGGCTGGCCGACTATCGCCCTCGAGGACTGCTGCAGCGCGATGCTGGATGTGGTGATCAATGGATTCGAGAAGGAACCTCTGTATAACGACGATCTGAAGGCTGTCGCGGACCGGCTCGCCGCCGCAAAAACCAAAAGTGACCATCTACTTGACCTGTAATCTGCTCTATCGAATCAAATCAGATCACAATGAAGGAAATCAGTTTACATGATTACAGATTAGTACAATAATACACATAATTTAAGACAGACAAAAACGTCTTTACGAAGTCTCCGGATGGACAGTCTCTGAGAAGGTCGAATTTGCTTTGTCCTCCCGCCGCAGTGCAGGCTCCCACGATATGCTGTTTGTCTTCTTCGTCGCCTTGTCGCCCCGGGCGTGGCCAGCCAGCCCAATTTCAGCCTGCGGCAGATCGACTGCAGTGTCACGCATGGTGGTGGAGGGGTTGATAGCGAATCGGGGCAAGGTATTGAAGTGGAGGGTGGCTGTCGTCGTCGTTATATGATCTTGCGTGTCAGCCTGGTCCATGTTCACAAACGCAGTGACGACCACAGGCAGATTCGCGACAACAAGCGACATGCAGTCCTACAACAATAGCAATTCATCAATCAGCGGTGCATTCAGCCGCGCACGTGCGACAGCGCACGCACCTCTACCAGAGCCGAGATGACCACCTTGACCCCGCCGTTTCGCAGGATAAATGCGGCATGAACGAGAGACACCTGTAGTGCCTCTGTCAGGACGTCCCTCTGACACAAGGCGGGAGGGAGCTGGCAACGCACAATCGTTGTCACGACGCAAGTCGAAAAGATGATCGTCAGCTTGCGGCGCAGAGGTCTGTCTGACAAGCATCGAAAAAGGGGAATCGGCGCGACCAAGAGGATCGCGTCAGCGATAACGTCCGCTAAGTAGCGCAGATTGATGAGTACCGCGCATGCAGCCCCAAGATGCCTGTATCAGACGCACTTATCAGCTGGCACAGAGCCACCTGCAGCGGGAGCTTGCACTGAGGATTCGGTGCCTTCTTCCATGAGGGCTCGGGCTCGCACGTCCAGAGCAGTTGGGCAAGGAAGAAAACGATAGCCCCCGTGAACGGCACGGCAATCCACGTTAGCCGCCTCCGCCTCCGCTGGTCCGGATCCAGGCGCACGAGTGAGAAGAGAATGCTAAGTCGGGACGACCTGCGATACATGCGACTGCGTCAGACTCGAGTTTTCGGTTTGCGCCGATGGAAAAAACGAACCAGATAATGATGTAGAATGTGGCAGCCATAAGATAATACACTGAGTGGTCAGTCAGCAACCTTGTCCTCAGGCGCAGGAGAAATCGCACCTGCCACTCCCTCCTTCCGCGGTAGGTGGTTCGGCATCGGAACCTATAAAACCGTTCAGACTCATCGTTGTGACAGGCAAAGGACATCGCACATGCAAGAATACAGCGACGATCTGTATGAGCAGCGCAACAAAGGCCACGAGAACCCATGCGTCGTCAGCCCAGAGTCGATGTCGCCGACGGTACAGCCTGTAGGGCACAGTAAGCAGCAGTCAACTGAGCGAGGCGGCGCGCCGGACGGACCGGCATATCGTCGACGCAATCGCGATGGAGCTGCACACGGCGGACGTGACTGGGCAGAGTATGAGCACCCCGGTGCGGCGCGGAATGCAAGCAGCCCACTCACTCTTCATCTCGACGAGCGGATTCGAGGCGTCGAAGGCAGTCATGACGGAGAGTGTCGTGAGAGGGGTGGTTTGGCCTGGACGACCAGAGCCCGGGTGGGGACATGTCACTGGCACGCACGCCAGGTTTAAAGCGGTCGAAGAAAGGACTTCTTTTGCATGTATCTCCTGATCCCCACTGACGGTTCCCAATGTCAGATGGAAGAACGCCGTTATTAGGGAGGTTCTCGACGAGGAATCAAGTGTGTATCGGCGCGGTGGAAGGGGGCCTCGGATAGGACCAACTGTGTGTGTGTGCTGGCACGCTCTAACCAATCGTCAGATATTTCAGGCAAGCGGGAGTGACGGTACGCACCGAAAGGATGGACAAAGCTCGGACCCCAAATCTGTCAGATGTCTGCAGTCTCCACTGATCAACTCGACAATGTCGCGCTTCGGTGATGGTGAGTCTGATGGCTCTGGGCACTATCTGTCCGGGACGAGCGTGGGTTGCTTCGAGAGGATCCGGCTCCAAGGCCATTTCAGCTGGTCGTGAGACCTCGGAGTCGGCTGGAGACCGGATAGTGTGGACGTGGATGACGGGGTTAGCGCATGATTATCATCGAATCGCGCGATTCGAAAATCACGTGATAGTATGTGACTGCTGCTGGAACTTTGTTTCTGACTCTCCGAGTGCACCACTCAAGCTGGGTCTGCAACCTTCTACCTTTACCGACATTCCGGTCAAACCTGATTAAAACTGTGTCAGGTTCGGAATAAACACCGAGAATTCTTTGGTGGACACTCGCGTCACGCGTGTGGAGGCGGTTGATTCGGTACATGTGCTTCGAATCTGATATCATTCGCCTTGTGTTTTCGAAGCATCGTTCCACGCGACCGCGCCAAGGGCAAAAAAAGACACGCGTTCTGAGGGGATGCAGGGCTGGGATGTGCTCCCGAAGTCGTTGATTGCTCGACCGGCCGAAGGACCCACTAGATCTCGGGCTCGATGGGAGTGGTACCTGGGAGCCCTCAATTACGATCTCGACGGACGGGCGTATCGTCGCGGCGCGAACGTTTGCCGTAAACGCGCAGGGATCAACAAAGTTCGGCCGCCAACAATCATGTTCAAGGGCTGCTCAATTAGTATAAAGCGACCCAGCTCTGGCCCCTTCGCACCCGGTCCCTGACAAGATGCGCCCTTCCACCGTCCTCTCCGCCTTCCTTTCGATCCTCGCTGTGCCGGCCCTGCTTCCTGCCGCCGCCGCGGCCAAGGCCAAGGCCCTGCCGACCAATCTCACTGTGACTGCGTTGGTAGGGAAGGGCAACCTGTCCTCACTCGAGTGCGCGCGCGTCCCAACTCTGAATCCAGCTGCGCTGCCGAGCTTACCCGCTGCCCAGGTGCTGGGCCTTCGTCCCCGCGTTCGTTGAAAGCACCGCCACGGGGACGGTCGGTGCACTGTCGTTCGGGCATCTCGGCGCGACCGGCAACAGCAGCTATTCGCTCTTCACGCAGAAAACGGTCGCTGGACTGCATAGGGCGCCGGCACCCCAGTGAGTTTGTCTGTCCGACTATTTGTCGATCGATCTTTATGTGTGTTGCGTCAGGTATGTCATCATCTTGAGCGGCCAGGGCGAGCTTTCGTTTCCCTCTGCGGATCCCAAAGACAAGCGGCTGAGTGGAAACTACACCGTGTCGTCCGGGGATATCCTCATCGCCATCGACACCGCGGACGTCAGCGCTCTAGGACACAAGTGAGCGATACGTTCGTGCACCTGACGCATCTTCGCTGAACAACGCATTCCCAGTTCTGTGTGGGAGGCAGGAACGAGTGTCCTCCAGATGCCTTTCGCGACCGGATCTGCGCCGCCGCATGTCGTCCTCTACAACGGAGGCTGCAAACGCCACCATATGTGATTTTTCGGATGTTCCTTTGGGCTGGTGCTGAAATACGTTGTGCAATCCGAATGAGGCAATTTTGGGGTTCCCGTTTGGTGAAGAAGACGTTGTGTTGCCGGAGATTTGATGTACTACTTAGTGAGGCATGTTGATCTTGGGTCTACATATATGCTGTGTACTCCGATGTCGTAACGAGCCTGCCGTGCAGTGATCCATTAGATCCTGTGTGTGCCATGCTTGATGGGGCCTTTGTCTTTCAGTCTGTATCGATCCCGGGTTTGTACTTCAAATGCCCTTCTTTGCGAGAACGAGATGCGGGACCCTCACACCGAGAAGTTGAAAATACGATCTCACTGGGTAATTCCTGGCGATGAGCATAGGGCACCAGTCGCATTCAATATCGCGCCATGATTTTTAATCAAACTCGTTCCAGTACTTAACTCCAGTTGAACCTGAGACCTGATTGATCGTCGTCCACTTCGAGGAAACAATGACAGCACGTGATGCTCATCACCTACACTGCCACCAGTTACTTGCTCTTCTGCTCCGTGCACGGTCTATGACCCAATGGCCAACTACAACCGGACGCGACATGCAGAGGTGATTCCCAGAACTTTCCCTGTGTCTGAAACGCACTGAACAGACCTCCCAGGACTTGCTAGAACGGAACGCCTCGAGCCCACCTTCGTTCGCGGTCCATCTGCATCCGGAGCACTGGACGCTCAACAATGCGTCCAAGTTCTTGTACAATAACCAGATTTCGGTCAGAGGTCTTGTTTCCGTATAAGATGAGTCTGTTGCTGACGGATGTCCATGCAGAGCCTTCTGGATGACATCAGAGCGCACCGGATCCCGGTCGACTTTCTCGAAATCTTCGACGCTCTCAAAGTGCCATTCTACGATGGTGAGCACATTCGTGCGCACGCCCGGAGACTCTTCTCACTAATCTTGTAGGCTGTCTGATCGTCGAACTCCTGGATTACCGGCCGCAACAAAAAGCGAAGGACACGCCGCTTGACAAGCCGGGAAAGACCCGAGTCGTGCTCCATCCGAACGGAGAGACGCTTTTCGCGGACTTATGCGCCTTGAATCGGAAGCACGGCGCGACCTGGAGTGACCAGCAGGCGCTGGAGGTCGAAGCAAAGATCGTCGTGAGTGACAGCAACCGCTACTTCGTGCAAGCCAGTTGTGTGCTTAAACTCAAATTCTAAAAAGCAACTGACTGCGCCACCGCTCTGCCTTTCGCCGGATCCGTTGCTCACACGCATCGTCAACCACACACTGCGTGTATCGACGCCAATGGTGCCAACGTCTCTCAAGCGGAAGGCGGCGGCTCTGGATCCCGAGGAAGACGAAATTGATAAGGCGCGCCGGACGAAGATCATGCAGTACATGGCGCCTCGCCCTGGGCGGGGTATCAGTCAGAAGTGCGTTTGCAGTTCTCGTTGTCTTGGGCTATAACTAATCACGTCGTTACAGCTATAAGATTCTAGACGTCATCCAAAGGGCTCGTGCTATGCAAGCTGCGAAACCGCCAACTCCTTCCGTGCCTCCTACCGAACCACCTCATCCGTCACCTGTGTCGGTCGACAAGTTGAGAAAGCAAAACGGGACCCCGATGTTTATGAATGGGTCGTCCAGCCTGAACCAAACACCGTCTCCGACACATGTATTCCCTGTACAATCTGCCGAGGCAAAACGCGCGCCCACCCCACTGCAGCACCAGTTCTCTGTCACCCCTGCAGCCAGCTCCCCGCCCCAATCTCAACCTCCACCGTCCCATCCCGCTCCAGTACCCACCCCGATACCCCACCCCCAATCCCAAACTCCGGCCCAAACTCAACCGCAGGTGAAGGTGCAGGCTCAGCCCCAGGCGTTCCCCAACCCGGCGGCAATCCAACCTCGCCCTCAATCTGTGACGCCGAATTTCGCTGGCGCGAACCAGTTTGCCGTTCCACCTGGCACGCGGATGACCAATGTAAACGGCCAGACGAAGCTCCCCCCGCCGAGTGGAGTGATGAAAAATGCCCAGTCGCAGCAGATATTCATGGCTGCACAGCAATTGCAACAGCAGAGAGCGGCTGCGCTGCAGGCCCAACAGCAGCAGCAGCAACAGCAGCAACAACAACCGAACGGTCGATTGACACCGCGCCCGGCCCAGCCGATGAATCTGGGCATGAATATGAACATGAACGCTGCTGCAGCCGCGGCTGCGATGGCCAACCGCGGCGCCAATGGCGGTCTGCCCACCTTGAACCAACAACAGCGGATCGTCGCTGCCCGGTCGCCCATCCCCCCCGGAAACCCGAATCAGCCGCAGCAGAACGGCAACGGCCAGCAGCTGAACTACACGTACCACCAGCCAGCCAACACCGGGTTGCGGCCCAATGGTGTGAATTCGCCTCGCCCGCCGAACGGCGCAGTGCGCCCTGCTGGATCACCCGCAGCGGTGGCGGCAGCAGCAGCGGGTGGTGGATCTGCTGGTACAGAGGCTGCGCAAATGATGAGCGGGATGACGCCTCAGCAGCAGGCGCAGCTGTCGATGTACTACCGCAACCACGGGTACGGGATGAACGCCACCCAGTTGGCGCAGTGGCAGCACATGGTCATGCAGCAGCGGCAGATGGCCGCGGGGCATCCGCAGAGCGCAGCTGCGATGCAAATGAACGGGCTCGCCATGCAGATGATAAACGCCAATGGCGCCGCCCAACAGCATATGCAACAGCAGCAGCAGCAGCAACAACAGCAGCAGCACCATCAGATCCCTGTCAAGGGCCAACCTCCCGGTCGATGATGGGTTTTTTATATCTTTATCGGGTTTTTTGTCGACTTATATAGTTAGATGTACTGTAGTTCCATACGCATTGTACTTTTAATCCACCGCAACTGATTCAGGTTCAAGCAGCGTGCCACGATTACTGTATACAATATACACGAGGTGTCGCAACCACGGTCCCCGTGTCGAAAACGGTTCACGCCGAACATGAGCTACATGAAGAATGGATCAACCGTACTCGAGCTGCGCGAGGAGGAGACCCGCAGCGCACCATACATAATAAACGGTCTCGACAATGCCCCAGATGACAACACAAAAAAAACACAACCGAAAGCGAACCAACATAGACGGCCTAAGGCCGATATCACCGTCGCTGCTCATCCGACACGGGTGATGGCCCATCTTGTCCGCGACTGCCGGATGGGCCAGCCCCGGCCTCGCCACGCAGCCGTTTTTTGACCTGGCAGGAAGCAGGGAATGAGAAAACGTGTCAGGCAGAGATCGATGCTACGGACCAGCTTCGCGTAGACGAGCCCACACGCGTTGCAGAGCGTGCGGGGCCCTGTCGAGATGGTTAACACAACACAAGAGATGTGAAAGGAAAGGAAAACAGAATTCAAAAAGTAAAAGCGGGTGAACGGCACGCACCCATCGGTCCGCGACGCCACTCGGGCGTCGACGTCGCTTGGCACCCGAGGCATTGCTGGGGGACGCCGCTTTTGAGCGGCGTAGTAGACTCGGACCCGGGCACCGTGTGGATGAACTCGTCGCCCTTCTTGAGATTCGACAGAATCAGCACCGAGGATGTCGCGGACAGCGCCGAAGGGGCCTCGGCCAGCACCGGCGACAACACCGGCTTCTCGCGCGGGGGCGCCGGCTCGAGCCGTCGCGGCGGGGGCGTCCGCTTGCGCTCTGGCTGTGGCGGCGGCTGCGGCGGCTCGATCGGCCTCGGTGCTTCGATACGGCCGCGTTCGGGCTGTGGCTGTGGCTGTGGCTGCGGCTGGATGGCGCGTGGAACGACGGCCGGGATGTTGGCACTTTCCAGCACCTGGGCACCATACGATGCATTCTGGAGCATGCGGTCGACAGGGGCGTCTGTCCTCGCCCCCTCGAGAATGCGGTGATACGAGTTCACCAGCTCGTGGAAGTTGATCGCTGGGGCCAGATGATCGGGCGACGGCGAGGACTCCCAGCGGCGTCGACTCGACCGCATGTCCGGCGACTCGGGCGGCGGAACAGGCGGCGGTGGGTACATGCGTTGCTGCGGCTCGTTCAATCGGGAGCGGGAGTCATATGGCGGGTGATTCCAGGCTCGCGTTTGCTCGTTTGAGGCAGGTCGAGGAGGGGGAGGGGGCACCGTATAGTGCGGCTGAGTCTGTTGTTGCGGTGGAGCCTGTCTCTCCGGTCCCGGCGGAGGAGGCGGCGGTTGGTACGTCTGAGTGCTCCATGTGCTGGTCCCCGCCTGTGGCTGCGACGGAGTCACGATGGGCTGCGATGGGGCCACCGAGGAGGGCGACCATTGCTGTGTCCCCGTCGTGTTCGCTGACGATATATAACTTGGCCCAGAATTGTACTGTTGTGGAGGAGGAGCTCCATAAGATGGCGCAGGCGGCTGGCTATAGCGAACCGGCGACTGTGGCGACTGCTGAGAAGTGTAGGAGCCTGATGTTGGCTGGCTGAACTGCGCCGGTGACTGGGGTGGCTGGGATGACGAGGACCCCGAGTCGGACCGTAGCGGACGAGGGGGCGGGTAGTTCGATCCGGGCGCTGAGTATCCGTTGTATGGATAGTAGAGGTATCGGCCGTCAGATGCCATGGGAGGAAAGTGCGAGAGAAATCGGCAAAGCCGTATTAAAATGCAGCCAAGATAGGATCAGAGCGTGTAAACCCTTGTAGTACCTCCCGATTATATTCAATGCTTGCCGTGGGTCCCTGAAACGGTCGAATACCACGAAAACCCGATAAGAAGCAGGACACACGAATGTCGAGATGGGTATAGAAATTCGACAAGATACCTATCCGTCAGAGTTAGTCTCTTCCGCCCCGACCGTCAGCGAGTGGTGCTCACGAAGTACACTGTCGCCCAAACTGTAAGATCGCAAGTATATGATCCTGTTCGCAGATGTGAGGATGATCCGAATAGGCTGGAAAACCATAATGACGGGTCGCGGGTCGCGTGGAAGAGACGCGTTATCGGCTCTGCGCACGAACAGACTCGAAAGGAAGAACATCCAACGTGACTCCAGACGACAGGCTCAGTTGCTCACGCGCGTCCGGACCGTGCAAGCGGACCACGACTTTGTCAACGAGCCAGCACAGATTCCTGCCCCGCGCTACAAAACTCCGAGCCAGTATCCTGGGACACACGCACGCACCAGCCAGACGCCGTCGCACAGGCGCACCCTCGACAGAGGTATCACAGTCCCGTCTCAGAGAGCGTCGTCGCCGTAAGCAAGAAGGGAAAGAAAACTAAGCATCAGGCTTTAGTCTTTGCGCTCAGCAGGGCTGGGTATGTAAAACGCTCTGACCTGGACGTAAAACAGGCTATCACGTAGCGCTATCCACGAGATCGAGGTTGCGTTCTGGGAGGGATTCGCCAGTCAGCACGTTGCACACTCTCCAGCGCCGGTCCTGGAGGTTGGTGTTCGAGGCGAAGTGTAATGGGTGCATGCCCGAGTCCTCGGAGCATCTTCTCTCCGGGCCGCTTCTCGGGCAGACACCGCCACATGTCTGATATCTCCGTTGCTGCCCCCGCTGTTACTTACGCGCGACTAGCTTTCGTGAATTTATCAATGGCACAGGGAGGAGATTCTCTCCCGTGCCACAGTTTTCTCCATTTGTGACTACTAGTGTTTTAGCCGTACTGAGCGCTTTCCTGAGCGACACCATCGCCCATCATCGGTGGCTCATGTCATGCGCATTCGATTCAGACCGGTGCCGACATTGTCAAGTTCTCTACCATACACCATCTTCCTCCTCTCTCAGGTCCCGGGACTTGAGAGGGGGATATGAGTAAGACATTTTGGCGAGAGATTAGGTTACACCCAGATTCAAACTGCCGAGAACGGGAATTGTCTCCGCTCTTCCGACCGTGTTAATTTCCGACCTCAGGCGGCTGGAGAAAAACAATTCAGGTCGACTGTCGACGTCGGCTGACAGATGGAGATCTCCTCGACACGGTGACGAAGCAAAACGACATGAATCATGGAAACCTGAGTGATTGGAAAGCCTCATGTGACGCTCTTCCCGAGTCCTTGGAATAGGCGTCGGCGTCAACATCGAAAAAATAGGCATGCAGAAGAACTCGAGTTCACTTCGCTCAGTTCGATCATCATCCGGGGATGATGCCGACATATCACATGTTTGCGGCAAAATGCTTCCGGTGTCCGTCCGGACAGCCTAACTTGAAGATTTCACCGGGCCACTCCAGCACACGACTAATGAAGCTTGCACAACGCACATTCATTGTCTCCGGAGGGTAGGTACTTACGACAGCCACCGACGTTCTCCCTAAATTTACCTACGAATCCAGTTCCTCCGGGCTTGGTTTAGCCACGGTCGAGAATCTCATTGCGGCAGGCGCCTTCGTCTCTATCCTCGACCGCTCAACTCCACCGGAGCATCTCCTCTCTTCCCCATCGTCCTCGAAAATCAAGTTCTACGAGACAGACATCACCAACCTCGCGCAGATCGAGCATGCCGTCGATAGCACCGTCGCGTGGGCATCGGAAGTAGGGGCTCCGCTTGGCGGGGTCATCAACTGTGCCGGGGTCGGGACCGCCGCGAAGATCATCGACGCGCACAACGAGCCCCATCCGGTCGACCTCTGGGACTTCACCCTCGCGGTGAACTTGACCGGGACGTTCAATCTCACGCGTCTTGCGCTCCGGCACCTGATCAAGGTCGCGCCCGAGGACGGGCCAGATGGAGAACGCGGCGTAGTGGTGATGGTCTCCAGTGCCGCAGCGGTGACTCTCGCTTCCTTTCTGCTGATAATCACACGTACTGAGTGCATGTATGCGGCAGTTCGAAGGGCAACCCGGTCAAACGGCGTATTCTGCCACCAAGGGCGCGCTGCATTCGATGACGCTTCCTCTTGCCCGGGATCTCTCGCGACACGCCGTTCGGGTGGTTACTATTGCGCCAGGGGCCTTCCGGAGCAGTATGACGGATAAGCTCCCGGACAAGGCGCGCAAGATCTTGGTCACACAGGGGATTGTCTACCCGGCCCGCTTTGGCGAGGCGCCTGAATTTGGGCAGACAGTGCGTTGGATCCTGGAGTGCCCGTATGTGAATGGAGAGACCATTCGTTTGAGTGGCGCAGGACGGCTGCCTGGAAAGCTGTAGAGTCCTCATCTACCGCAGGTGCGCTTAATAGTGTGTATTCTAGTGCAGGAAATAGCACTGATGACCAAGATATCTAAGAATAAATCCGCAATTACAACCTCGCTGGTAATCTCCCCCCACCCGTCATCTTTATACTTTCCCCATTGATATATGCGCACTCCAAGACCCAGTTGACCGTTTTCGCGAACTCCTCCGGTGCACCGTACCGCCGGGGAAACAGCAGACCCATATTTGTGATCCCGCTTGCGACGCGATCTGTCCACTGGTCCGTCATCGGTGTCCCGAAGGGGCCAGGCGCGATTGCGACGACGCGGATGCCAAAACGGGCGCAGTCGCGTGCCATGGGGAGGACTAGGGAACGGATCGCGCCTTTGGAGGCGGCGTAAGCAATCGTAGATGGCATCCCCTCGTACTGTAGCCTAATGTGAGCCAGCTGCGAAGCAAGTGAGGACTGGTATGATCACGCACTGCAGCATTGCTGGAAATGAGGATGATGACGCCGCGCTCCCCGTCCCCGTTCTCCGCTGGCACGCGTATCAGGTGTCGAAGCACCAGACGCGACAGATTGAAGGTTCCGGTAACGTTCACAGCCATCACGCGTTCCCAGTTTGTCATCGAATGCGGATTGCCTTTCGCGTCGATGATCTACGACCGCGGTTGAGCTAAACGGAGAACGGAGCGACGTGTCCTCGGTGGACACACACACACCGGTTCCCCGCTCCCACCAATCCCAGCACAGTTCACCAACCCGCCGAGCGGCGCCCCGTTGGCTGCGGCCCACGCGGCTGCCTCGTCGACGGCCTGCTCGAGCCCGTCGTGCTGCGCGAGATCAGCGGTGATGAACAGCACCCGGTCGGCCGGGAACTGCTCCTTGGGCGGACGGAGGTCGAGAATGACGGCTTTGGCCTCGGCCGCGAGCAGTCCTTGGACGGTGGCGAGTCCTAGTCCCGAGGACCTGAGTGTGCATGTGCTATGTGTCGGATGCGAATTTCATGGGGTCAGCAGGGCCACGCACCCGCCTGATACCACGAATGTCCTGTCTGCGACCTTCATTGCGGGGAAATGGGGACAGCTCAAGTTGCCGGGTATTTAGCGCTATTAGTAGGACGAGGGGGCGGCGCTTGAAGTTATATGATGTCGCGTGATTAGTTGTTCTGATGATGATGTCGGGGGATGGTTGCCTCCGACACGCCGTCCGAATTACGGGTGTGGGTGGACCGGATATGAGCGGTAGACGACCACTTCGGAGACACATTTGAGCATTTGCGCACTTGATTGAGGACATCCAACTAAGCCTCTCGCCGACATCGCGATTATAGTGGACAGTACATATAATAAATAGATATTAATTCATTGACAAAGGTCAATCGGGGACAGGCATGGCATGGCATAAGCGCTTGAGCAACAGTCCCTCCCAGGTCAGACACTGGTGGCCGGATCATTTATGCGCGCGGGTATCTCTTCATCCAGCGCTTGGTCACGCTTCTCAATCCTCGCAATCGTCTCTTCCACGATCAGAAACCCGGTGATGCCGACGTAGATCGCCAGAAACTGCATCGACTTCAGGCTCGAGGAGATCGGCACCAACATCATCACAATGCTCGCCGCGAAACGCATGCCAAGCACGACCCTCCGACTGATGGTCGTCCTGAGGACTTTGCGCACATGATGCGGATGGAGACCCTCCTGGTCGTCGAGGTTCTTGTGCAGCACCCCGATTGTAGCCATGGTGAACACGGCGACACCCAGCCCTGCGCCAAAGAACCACTTGAGCCCGGGTCCACCCTCCTCGCTGGTTGTGAACGACTCAGTCACGACCATGCGGTTGATCGCTGATGAGGCAAGGAGCAGAGACATGCACATCGGGAAATGCAACATGGAGAAAGTGTATCCAGCGAGCCAGTGCCGACGGATGGCATGCACAAAGTGCTTGCTTGCATGGGAGGTGAAGTACATCCAGTTGAGATTGAATGCAATCATCAGTCCTAGAAATGCTCGACCGGACTCGCTGTTAAGCGTTAGGCGAGGACATCTTTAAAAAATAATCACCGCTATGACTCACGCGTTGATTCCCGCCGCAGCTGAACTTGCGAAGAACACGCTCACGACTATCTCTCCTAGAACGATAGTCACGAACGCGCCCAGCCTTTCAACGAGATGTTCGATGTTGATGGCTGGCTTGTGGTCAGCCACAGCCTTGGACGCCCAAAAATTAAGCGCTTACCTGGGAACCGCACGTCTTCTTTCGCAGCAACCCAATGGCAGGCTGGAATATCCTCCAAAGGAGCCTCCTCGTTGACCGCTGTCATCGAGCTGTTCCTAGTCCTGGATACGTCCGCATCCAGCTCACCAGTCCAGTCCTTCTCTAGCTCCTCTTGCGGGCTCCCAGGATACAACCTCTGCGCACTGCGCTGTCTCTGCAGTCGCCGTTTTCGGTCATGCCGTTTTCCCAGGACGACCATCGTCTTGTCGAGCAGGACGGCCAACACTCGGATCAAATGATCAGCCACAATGCTCACCGCAACGATCGCAATGACCCCTCTGTTGGAGACGTTGGCAGAGATGGCGATCAGAATGATGATGACTTGGAGAAGCGGGTCGACGACAGAAAACTGGAGCGGAATGCGGGACATGGGGAGAAATAGTGAGTACGAGAGCGTTAGAAGGACTGGAGGTGAATTAACCGCAAGCGGGGGGACAAGATACACGATACTAACGCACCTTTGGAGGCTTTCGCGATTATATAGAAGCCCATCGTCCATCGCATAGCCAATCTGCTCTCTTCACTCTGGCCTGCAGAGCTTATCTCGATTGCGCTTGCGTTATTCGAATACCCCACGAGCAGCAACATGGTCCACAGGATGTAGGCCCTCTGCACCACGTCGTCGTTGGAGAACCGGTTCGCGATATCACGCATATCAGACCAGATGCTGTATGCCGGTGCGAAAGTGAGAATGTATTTGAGTAACCCTAAGCCCGTAGGCTGCACCGCTGCTGCCTCGGATATCTGGTGCACCATGCCGACAAACAGGAGGTCGAAGAATAGCTCGAAACGGGAGGACTGCTGTTCGCCTGTTTGCTGTGTGATGTCCGCCTCAGTTGAGGTGCGTTGGATTCAGAATGAAAACCGCCGTACCCTGTACAGTTTGCCATTTTGTAGCCACTGATGGAGCACGGGGCGTTGGAGAAACTGGTCAATGTTGTACCGGACCATAAGCCGGCAGACCGAGGCGCTCGTCCCCGTCCCTTTAGATAACCGCTGGATCGTGCCTTGGTCAGGGTCGTCCGGGCGCACGAAGATGATCTCGTCCGAGTGTCCATAGGATGCAAGATTCCGTGCCGCCTATACCCATGTATTAGAGCCTATGAAGGTTCTGTGGGCACAAGAAAGCGCAAGCTTCACGTACATGACCAGCGTGCTCGATATGCTTGACCTCATCCCTGAAGCTGTCCAGCTCGAGCTCCACCTCCTCTTTCGCCGCGTTCGCAGTTTGGAGATCGCGCTCTAATGTCGAGACGCGGAGACGCAAGGCTTCGAGCTGGCCGGTCTCGTCGACTTCCATCGCCACAATGATGTGGTAAAAGGGGTGTAAGCTGGCTCAATACCAGAACATTTGAATGAGCCAAGACAGATGGTTATCTGCTAAGCGCGGTGATTTTCGGGGTTCCCTGATCAAGCACAGAGTTTTTCTATGACAAGTTTTCGACGGAGGCTGCGCAAACTGACGAGCCGGAGGGACGCGCGTTGGAATGGATGGTAGAATTCGTGATGGAGGTGCAACGAACGTAAGGATTGCCACAGATTCGGTCACACCCGGATCACCCGGATGAGCATCCGCGAATTTTGATCCGGGTTGATGACAAGGATTACGCGTACGCGTCATCCGTAATAATCTTACCGACGGGTTTTGCCTGCAGGCTGCGGGTCTACCAGGGTCTGCCCGTGAGCCGCATATACTCACTCGCGTAGCTACGGGCGAAGGCTTGTTGCCAAAAAAAAACCCGAGGGTTTGACCTGGCTTGGCCCGATCCGACTCGGGTCACCCCAAACAAAGGTGTGCTTGCCGCTGATCGGCCGGTTAAAAGTTTTGATCCACTCGCTCATCCTCTGCCGCCATGTCCCAAACGCGTGAGTTCCCACCACTTTATCAATCCACAGGCGACGCGTCGTCCGACCGACTCGCGTTCTTCCACCTCCTCGAGCGTCTCAAGGTCAGTCCGCCACGTCCATCCGACGCGTTTTCCCCACTCAGCTGCTGTACTCAGACACAGAAACGGACCGGATGGGTCGACCATGACGTGCGTGCACGGCTTGCGCTGTAGATCTCGTCGCGCACCTTACGAGGAGCAGATACCGAACCCAGAGAGGTGCATGCGTGTATTGCGCCCAGTGTGACCGTCCGCTCATTCGCACCGTGCTTGTGCAGTATCTCGGATCACATGTACAGGATGGCGATGTTGGCGATGTGTACCTCGGACCAGACGCTGGATGTGGCCAAGTGTGTCATGGACCTTTGATCTGTTTTCAGGTTAATCATGTCCGTGCGTAGATGCGTGATGCTCTGCTTGGTGCACGATCTGGCAGAGGCCCATGGTGAGTCTTTGTCCATTGCCATTGCTAGTCGCAAATCCGATACGTGTTCCAGTTGGTGATATAGCACCGCGAGAGGGGTTCACTTCCGAAGAGAAGAGACAGCTCGAGGCAGTGAGTCTGAACATGACCCCCCTCCGAGTGATTTACTATCTCGTTCTGCTTCCAGAAAGCCATGGACAATATAGTCCATGAAATGCTACACGATAGCCCCGCTGCCCTAAAAGTCCGGGCGCTTTGGGAGGTGAGTTCATGAGTCCCCAGGTCATCTCCCTTTGCCCACGCTCATCCCGATTCCAGGAATACGAGGAACGACAGACACCCGAGGCAAAATTCGTCAAAGGTTTGTTCTTCCTTCGTCTTCGTCTGAAGCCAATGGCATGGTCCTTACACCACGGCCAGATCTGGATCGGTTCGAGATGGCCTGCCAAGGTTCTTGCTTGTTTCCGGTGGTGGATGTGCGCGTGTCCGATGCTTACGCGAGCTTTCTTCAGCCTCAGAATACGAGCGGGCGCATGGGAAGAGCCTTCAGCCGTTCTTTGACTCGAGCTTGCCCCACATCCGACATCCTGAAGTGCAAGAGTGGGGAAGAGATCTTGCTAAGCAGCGGGAGAGTCTCTGACAATAGCCGTCTGATTCTAAACTCAGACTGTCCATGACGAGAATAACGACATGCACTCATCCTAACACACACAATGAATCGGAGACATAAATCACTGGTTTACAGGTTTTTGTGACGAGATAAACCGGGATCAGATCCAGTATCGATAGGCAGAACGATGCAGTCAGAAGCGATCGCGATCTACAATGCTATGCTATTGTTGCCAGTCTGCACCGCCATTTCAACTCGAATTTTCCTCACCGAGTATGATCCTCTCTAGGGAAGTGTAACTTCAACGCTATGGGGTCGATCGTCTGACCTGAATCGGCAATTATGTGCTCTACGAACCGGATCGCTCGAATCCTCTCGCCTCAACTAGCCTGAACGTTCAGTGACCCTACGTAGACCTTGCTGTTAGTCAAGAGTGAATTCTAGACCGAGTGAATTGGATTCGGCGTAGCGGTTACGAGCATGTCCTGACATCGAAGACATCAGCAGATAGTAGATAATATCTGGTTATATTTCAACGCTTTATTCTGGACTCTAACTGGGAAAACTCAATGGGATCACTCGGCCCAGCCCTCGCTCCTAATCCTCATGTAACGGGCACCATTGCCGATCCTCCACGACCGAGATACACGAAAATAACTCTGAAATGGGCTTATATGTCTTTGCTGGACTACGATATAATTGCGGCCTTCCGAGCAATAGACCCTTGTCGCGAAGTAGGAACTCAATCACGAGGACGCGTCAGTCACGGGATCGTGTCAGATCCAATCATATCTTCATTTTCAAATTTCCTGATCTAGCCCGATCTCTTCTCCAGCAATCTTCACGGATCCCACGATGAGCCAACACATTGGTGAGTCCACGAAACTATAGCGCTGGACCTTGCATTCGTGCCTCTGACTCACAACAAGCGCTACTCTCTGTGTACGATAAGACTGGCCTGCTCGAGTTCGCCCAGGGCCTGCATGCCGCAGGCGTTCGACTGCTGGGGTCTGGTGGAACTGCGAAGAAGATCCGGGAAGCAGGTATTCCCATTGAGTGCGTTTTATCGGTCTGCGCCTCTGCCCCTCTGATCCACTCTTTTTCAGGGATGTCTCCGACATAACCAAAGCGCCAGAGATGCTCGGTGGCCGCGTGAAGACGTTGCACCCCGCTGTGCATGGTGGTATCTTGGCACGTTCTATTCCCTCAGACGAGAAAGATCTCGCTGCCCAGGGTATCGCGCCCATTTCGATCGTGGTGTGCAACCTGTACCCGTTCACGTCGACCATTGCGCAACCGAACTGCACCCTTGCCGATGCCGTGGAGGAGGTCGATATCGGGGGTGTCACGCTCCTCCGTGCGGCAGCGAAGAACCATGCGCGCGTTTCGGTGATCTCTGACCCGGCGGATTACGCAGAGTTCCTCGAAGCGTGGAAGGCAGGAAGTGGCGAGGTCGGCCAGGCGATCCGGAACAAGTTGTCGTTGAAGGCGTTTGAGATGACTGCGACGTACGACGAGGCAATCAGTGGGTATTTCAGGGAGCAGTATGCGTCAGCGGAGCTGCCTGCGGACAAGCTCTCTGGGCCCGTTCAGCGGATGGCGCTCCGTTACGGCGCCAACCCTCACCAGAAACCGGCCCAGGCTTATGTCACTCACGGCGCCCTGCCTTTCAAAGGCATGTCTCCGGGTGCATCTCTGTTGGTGCCGTTTCTCATGCATCTCTACAGTTCTTTGCGGTTCTCCCGGATACATCAACCTGCTCGACGCCCTCAACTCGTACGCTCTTGTGAAGGAGCTGCAAGAGGCCTTGGGCCTGCCTGCCGCTGCATCCTTCAAGCATGTCTCCCCCGCAGGAGCTGCTGTCGGAATTGCCCTTGACGAAACGGAGAAAAAGGTGTACGGTGTAGACGACCTCAAGGAGCCACTCACTCCGCTCGCCTGTGCCTACGCTCGTGCGCGGGGTGCTGACCGGATGTCCTCGTTTGGGGACTTTATTGGACTCAGCGCGCCGTGCGATCTGGCGACGGCGAAGATCATCTCGCGAGAGGTGTCGGACGGAATCATCGCCCGGGATACACGCCCGAGGCATTGGAAGTTTTGGCGAAGAAAAAGGCCGGAAAGTACTGCGTCCTCGAGGTGAGCCGCCAGTCCGGGATTTGAAACACACACAGAGTGATATATCTGACGCGCGCGTAGATCGATCCGAACTACGTTCCCGACGAGATTGAGACGAAGCAGGTGTACGGCGTGCACCTGCAGCAGCGCCGCAACAATGCCAAGATTGATGCTTCGCTTTTCTCGAACATTGTCACCAAAGCCAGCGAGGTAGGTTCTCCTTTGGCCGGGACTCGCGCAGCTAATTACATGTACCTTGCAGCTGCCGACCGAAGCCAAAACGGACCTGATCCTCGCGACGCTGGCGCTCAAGTACACGCAATCGAACAGTGTCGGGTACGCCAAAAACGGGGCCATCATCGGTCTCGGCGCCGGCCAGCAGTCGCGCATCCATTGCACCCGGCTCGCGGGAGGCAAGGCCGATTTATGGTGGCTGCGCCATCACCCGCGGACTCTTGCGCTGCCGTTCAAGAAGGGCGTCAAGCGTGCCGAAAAGGCGAATGCCATCGATCTGTTTGTGAGCGGAGAGGTCCTGGAGGGCGGGGAGAAGGAGCAGTGGGAGGGCATGTTTGAGGGTGCCGTGGCTCCGCTAACAGCTGAGGAGCGAGCCGAGTGGGCGGCGAAGCTGGATGGGGTTGCGTGCTCGAGCGACGCGTTCTTCCCGTTCCCTGACAACGTGCATCGTGCCCGCAAGAGCGGCGTGAGGTACCTGGCTGCCCCGAGCGGCAGTGTCATGGACGCCGAGTGCATCAAAGCGGCTGATGAGCATGGCATCGTCTTTGCTCACACCTCACTCCGTCTATTCCACCACTGATCGCGGGCGTGAAAATGCGTGTAGTAACTAAATGTATCGTGTAACAGAAGATTCGACAGCCGTCGGAATATATCATATGAATATCTGTGGAACTGGCACTGGCAATGACAGATGTTAGGCGATGGCTGTGCACATACTGTAGCCGCTCACCTGACGCATCTTCCTCCACCCTCGCCACCTGCTTCCCTTGAATCTGATCCTTCAGTTCCGAGCCCAGGCGCCATGCTGGAATTGGAGCGCTTACCACAGACCATCTCCCCGTCCCGCAGCTGTCTACGGTTTTCTCTATCCTCTCCACGCTAAGTGCGGCAGAAACCCAGTACCATCGCTGCAAACTTACCGACTGAATGACATGCTAGTATCCAGCTTCCACTCTCATGCCGGTGATGGTCCCTTTGAATTCCCCAACCGCTCACGCCGTTGATGAGCGCAGAAACGTTCTACTCGGTCAGCGCAATGGCTATGAGGCTGCGGGAAGGAACCTCGGACCAAGTTACTCCTACCTTCCCCTGACCCTCAGCACACACCCCCAGCGTGCGCAGCTATTCACCGCCGTCAATCCGTTTGAAATTCCAGAACGCTGGTGGAAGCGGGGCAGGAGAGACACTGCTCCGGATGCAGAATGTGGGATTGGAGTCCAACACGTTGTATCAGACGACGACATTCCGGGCGATGCAAAGCACCGTGCACATCCTGCTCACGGTCCCAACTACCCCTACGCGTCTATGGGCCATGACGGCTCACCGACGAACGGTATGGTTGATCCTCGGAATCCAAGCGGGGATATGTGGAACTCGCCTGTTGGAATGGGGACAGGGAGTCACCCGGAACCATTCCTGCCGCCAGATAGGATGTCCGCTGAACCTCCTTCGGAGCAGAGACCGATCCCAGCCCCAAATCCGGGCCGCAATCCTGTCTATCATGTTGTGGAGGACGCGATCTGTCAGCCGGCGTCCATACATCGACCCAGGTCTCCACCACCACAACCGGAGCACAGCGCACCGATTACAGGTACCCCCCTGCAAGCAATCTTGACGCCAAAGCATAGCCCTGCGAGCAACAGGGAACAGTTCGATCCGCCTGAACGCCCTGACACTATCGCGGAATCCCAGGGCAGAAACGGAGAGAGGTCGCCGGAAGAACCGGCACGTTCTGAGCGCTCCACGGGCAGGAGATACAGTCCATGGACTTCGTTTAGTAGTCGCAGTGGAAGCTCTCTTTCTCCCGGCGACCGTGGTCGTTACGCTCGTCGCCAGCACCCTCGATCTGGCTCCCCGTCTCGCTCTCCAACTTGGTCGAGAAGCCGTCATGCTCGAGAACACGAGGGTCCTTATGATGACAGCCCCTCGCCCCCTGATCTCGGTCCCCATCGAAGCCCAGGTGCTTCGCGCTCGATGTCTATTCGGAGAGAGGCTTCACGACCAGAAAATATCGACGAAGAGAGCCGTCTTGATTCTCCCGCTGCTCGCCCACAGTGGGATCCGGCAGCTGAGGCGGGCTATCCTGCCCGCCTGCCTCCAGTCGCGATTGCCGTTCCCCCGATTCATCCACATCTGAACTGCCACTCCCCGTGACGCTCGTAGCAACATCACCAAGGACGTCCGGCACCCTGTGGTCCTCGCTTCTCGACGCTGCATTCGTCGTTACGGACTTCTTCCCACGGCAGCTCTACCTGCTCATCCTGCTGAGAATCCCGTCGCTGTACTTTTCGCGAGTTACGCGAGTGTTCGAGGACGCCCGGCTGAATCATTTTGATATCGAGCAGATGGCGAAAGCCAGGGCGGAGCAGTGGAATGTGCAGCCGCCGCCGTACTCGATGTTGTTGCAGCAGCAGCAGCCGTATCCGGAGATGGCGACACCTACTTTACCCGTCGCCTTGCTGATTTTCAAAGCCTCGTGGGAAGAGTTCATCGACTCGCTGATGAAGGAATGGAAGACGTTGAACATCGTTTCCGTTCTATTGCTTTCGTGCGCACTCTTTCTCTTGGATCCACCCTTGTCTATGACTGACGGGACTCAGTGCCATCTTGACCATGGTTCAAATCAACGAAGTGTCACATCCCGTTACTCGAACCGCCGCCCTGTTTGCGTTGATCTGCGCGCTGATGAGTTTATTTTTGGCTGCATGTACATCATCCGGTTCGGGACCATGCGCAAGATGCACAAGGCGAGCAGGTTAGCTGCCGAGGCGCAGAGGGGTGTTGTTGGCATTTGGTGGAATGTTTGGGTTCTCCTGGCGATGGTGCGTGGTTTATCTTTTCCGCTCAAAACTAGTCAATGCTGAAACTGTTTACCCAGCCAGCAGTTTGGCTTTCCTGGTCGCTCGTCGCCTTTCTTATTTCCATCATGTCGTTCATCTGGCTGGGTGGTTCAACGGCAGATCCGAACGGTTTTCTGTTGCACCCTAAAATATCACTGGCACCTCAGATTCTGCTTACTGCTGTCTTTGTCTCTGGGCTGATCTATTTTGTGCTCACTGCACACGAATTCCATCGATACGGGGACCCTCTGGATCGGGAGTGGTCGAAAGCTGTGGATGCAGACGTTCAGCGTCAGAGCAAGCCTGTGCGACCTGTGTACTCCGACTCTTCTCTGCGCCCTCTCACGGATAAGTCGACACCTGGGGATACACATCGATCCCTCCCGCGAAGACCGTCTGATCGTCCCAGTCCAGACATTGCCTTCCCCAGGGCTCTCCCAATCATGCGCTTGAATCTGGACAAAGAGATTGGTGCGGTGACATCGTTCGAGCCGCATGACTCGCTTGTAGTGCCAGATGAGACATGGGCCGCATTCATGCAGGTGTGATGGATTGACTCGGCTTGAGCGCCAACTGAGATCCCGACAGGACATCCAATCCGTCTGGGCCGACCGTCCCGTGTTCCGGGCTCCGCCTGGGGTCGACCTGCATATCGGCAATGGGAGCGTTTCCGTTCTGTCTCCAGCACAACTGAACTCGCTCTCCTCCTCTGCCGAAGACCATAGCGTGATTCCGGTCGAAAGATCGCTTCCAGTTTCGGAGAAGCAAGATCGCCGCGTTGGAGCTATACATGCGATGCTTGTCGAGTGGAACAGGCGGTTCTTCTGGTCGTGTGGGTTGAACGTCGAGCTGAATTCGATACCGTCTCATCCACGGCTGTTTGATATCTGCTTGCACGATACTCGAGTGCGAGGACCTGGGATAGGCCGTCAAATATCACGAGGCTGGGGCGAGGCTGAGCACAGGGAGGGAACGTGATCATCACTCTGCAGAATAATTCCATATGAGTAGATCACGCTTCGAGCTTGTTCGAAACGTATGTCGATATGGAAATCCGCGGTGCACGTACTGCATTGATCGCACTGCGGTCAGCTGTGATGCTGCTCTTCATGCTCATTTCCGGTGCCATGTGTCTCGATGCGTCGCGGAATGAATCGTGTCTCCAGGAATATCCCAATAACATAACTTCTGGAATGAGGATTTGGATTTGGGCATTCACCGCATCAACTCTCGCAAAGAAGAGGAAAGCAAGGAGCGTCCTTGTCACAGATCGAACACCCTCAAGCACTGCGTATTCCTTTCTACAACGAACACGAATGTTTCTTCAGCTCTTTATGCCAGATTACGTCACACATGTGTTGCCAATTGGCTGCCTTTGACATCGGCCTTGGAATGCTCCTGGGAAGATCGAGACAACACGGCTTGCTACATACTTAGGTTGTGGATAGCGCTAGAGGGATGTTATGAGCCGGACGTTGATCAGAATTTCCCTCCGCGCTCCAGCTCGTGTTTCCCGCCGTGGCTATGCATCTCACACCACACATCGACGCGATGCGATTGGGAATGGGATCTATTACACAGGCCCCGATGCGCAGGCTGTCACTCACTACACCCGCTAAGCTCGATTTAACTCCCTCGCCCAGCAGCTCTGCGTCAACGATGCAGAGAAACTCCAAGGCGGACAAGGCCAGCCTGTTGTGCGCGATGCTCTCCACCGCGCAGCTGTGTGTGGCCACTGGGGGGAAGCATGCCTTCTAGACCGAGAGGAGCCTGAAACCGCAGTACAAGTTCGGCCAGGCCAGATGACGAGTGTGGACGTCGATGTCAGCCAGGACATGACTTGGACCGCCGAATTCATGGATAGAATCAGCGAGATCAGGGACAGTATGAACGTCATCGGTGAGCCTCATCCTTGTCCGGCCACTCGCTCGCAGAATCTGCCGCTTAAGATGAACCAAAGGATCTCTGCAGGTCAAAAGTGACGCTGTTGGTGGGGGTAGGAAAGCGTCGGCATCCTTTTTCGATCCGAGTAAACTCAAGGAAAGCGACATCGACTTTTTTTGCAGGTCCGCGTCAACAACGGCTCACTGCTCCCGATCTAACCGATCTCGATTCCACAAGTGTTTGTGTCCATTCACTTCAGATTCAAGACTTATGGAATGCAGTGCGATGCTAGCCAAGTACACAAGCCTGAAAAGCTTCTACATGAAGAGCACCAGGGGATTGCCGCTCGACTATGAGAATGCCGGTGTATACTCGTCCGTGCTGCTCGATGCTCACATTGATTACAAAGTGATGTGGTGTAACATACAACAAGGTATCAGTGCTTCCTTCCTGTCTTTCTACCCAGTCTAATCGAGTCTTCCAGCCGCATGGGAAGTTTAACAGGGTCAATCAACGTCGGTCGGGAAACAGCACGTCGAGAGGTTCACCACATTAGGCGCCAAAGCAAAAGCAGATTCACGGCTAAAATGACAAGATACCAAAACAAACTGGCTTCAGCGAAGCAGCAACACCCTCGACAATTACAACCAGCAGTACCGCTGCTTGATGTCGGCGCACCTACGCCACCTGCTGCTCTGTTTTGTGACGAAAATACTGGTGCACCACCAGTACCGCTTCTCCTGTTTTACCCTCCAGACCCCCCGGTCGAGCCCGAAGAAACTCTGCCACCTAACGAACTCATCCCGTACGAGGGCAGTCTGTCTGGCCTCGGCGGCGCGCGCAGAGACTGCCGGTCCGAGATAATCAAGATTGTACGAGAAGTCGATGCGGTGGCCAGGATCCAAGATCGGAGCCGTTTGTGGAAATATTTCAGTCTAGCGATCCTCTAGATCTTGCTTCCGGCGAGTTGCTCATTCGTGCCGTCGTCCTTGCTGTGTTGTGATCCGGCTGTGCGCAATGTCAGCTGGGAAAGAGCCGTCGTAGAAGCCACCGATGCAGCGAGGGCCAAAACGGAGAAAGAGAAGGGCGCAGGAGGCGATCGTGGACAATTTGTCGAGCACACAAATCAAGGTCCGCTTGTCGGCAGGGAACACCAGGACTTCGAAGCAGGAATGAAGACGCAGATTCCAGAACCGAAGCGCGAACATACTGTTGGACGGGAGTGACAGAGGGCGAAGATGGGCCGGAAACATGCGGCCGAGCTAGAAGATGCGGGACAGAAACTGGAGCAGTTCAAGGATACGGTCAGGCAAGTGCAAGTCAAGCTCAGCACGCTAAAGACGACAAAAAGATTACTCGGGTGAGCACTCGTCCACTGCCGCCAGCACTGGACTGATTCGCAGCCCAGCCTGAAGGACGCATGGTGCCCAGTGCCGCTCAGGACGCCTGTCCAATTCAAGAATGTCAACAAACGGCAGTGCATGCAATATGACCTCTTGTTCGGGTTGGGCGGTCCGGCCTGGGCGGAGCGATGAAAGTGGTCATTTCAAGTGTGTGAGGTCGCGCAGTCAGCATTGCTCAATGTCCGAGCATTAAATGATGTTCTAGTTTGACATCCAGGCATTGGGAGCACTGGCTTTCAGAATCAGACATGTCCAGACTGGCCGCCTCTCCGCTGTCGCAAGACAGGTCTCCTCTGGCGTGTGGCTGCAGATGTGCGAGTTCCCGGTGTTCTTCATGTTCATGTTTGAGTCCGTCATGGATAACGGAGCGTTCGCCGGAATGACTACGTCCATTTGTGTATGTCTCCTCTGCATCTCGCCGGGACCTGATCCCGCCTTGCAGGGTCCATTTGGCCGAGATGCCGTGCCATACGCTGAATGTCGCTGGAGGCGGAACGAATGATGATGCGCAGAAGCTCGCGTTTTCCGGAGAGAAGAGCAATAGTGACAGGTGGTTCATTGACGCCTTCGATAGAGGATAGAGAGGCGGTACTGGCATCTTTGTCTGCTGAGCACTGAAACTCGTAATCGGTGCGAATTGATTGTCTTGCTTGGCTTGAGATTGCTGGCCTATGTTCTTTTCCATTTCTGCAAATGAGACTGCTGGTGGCTTGCGTGCGGTTGACGGCTAGGTTAATTCATCTATCGCGCACGCGTCGCCTCGCCGTTGATCTATCTGCACGTCGCGCCCCTCTTCACCGGCATGCGGCGTTTCGCCCTGATCCCGGGATCTTTTCCGGCAGCGGGAGAGGGCGGACTTGCGGAGAGGAATTAAACTCCAGCACGCGGCTGTCGCACCCAGCTCTCAAAGAAAGACATCAGTTGTATCGATCCGGTGCGCCACGGTTCCAGAGGTGTATGATAGGGATCGCAGCGTTGGTGTCACCGCATCTGACTGACTCACTGACAACGCGTCTGCTGTCCTCCGAGGAGCATCGCAGCTCATGCTATTCTGGCGAGTGGTGCTGATCAACCACCCTTTAGTAGGTGGGGAGCCGCGATTCTCCCGCACCTAATCTGCTGCCACGAGTCTCCTGACACACCGTAATAACAAAGCAGGGTTTAATGGAAGTTTCAGATGGTGATCACCACGAGATCCAGGAAATAGGACGAAGTTGGCGGTGAGGCTGCGGCTGCGGCCTCTGTAGACTCGCAAATGACACTCTTGTTTCCCGATCCAGTGCGGATAGTCTGGAAAGTGGGGTTCGCTCGAGAACTGTCAGGCAGCCTTCTTCTATGTTCTTGCTGTGTCGCTTCTGTATGAATGGGAGCTTGTCTCGCCTTCGGTACCGCCCGAAACCGGTCCCTCGTTCTCATCGGTGGCGCTTCATTCTACCTCATGTTTTGTTCTGGGCACACCCTGAAGAGCGTACCTCGATTTCAAACGGAGTAAGCCGTCGGGAGAGGACCGGCCCGATCCAAGTATATATCATTATGAGCGCCTTCGAAGATTATGAAGCATCTTGAACTGATGAGAAAGCTGGTGAATGCTTTTTATGACTCGACGCTTCCTGTCCAAGATGAAACACTGCCTCTGCGCCGTCTTTTGGGCTCAGACCAGTCAGGGTTTGCGCATGGGAAGGGTAGCTCGCAATCAATGCTTGTTTCACAGATAATGAGCTGCGGATTCGGTCCGAACTGGAGGAGCAGATGGCAGCCATGTGGATCTGACCTGGGCTCTGCAGAATGTGGGCAAAGACGGTATCAGGGCGCGGGAGTGTTTCGTACGCGAGATCTGGGCCAGCCGATGCCATCGTTGTTGGTGATGGCGCCGCATCCCGGAGCATGGCGTCGTGATTGAGATTTGACTTGATCGCATACAAGTGCCACAGCGTTCGCGAGTATGTCTCTGGTCAATCTCGACTGCGTTTGCCCCTCCCTGTCTCCATGTCACTGCATGTTTGCTTCCGGAGCCCGTTCCGACTGGCGTTTGATCCACTGGCATACGGGAAACACCCGTCAATGCTTCACATCAATCTGCACTCCCGAGTTGTTGAACGTCCGAAGGCCAATATGCCATTCCCACGTAGACTAGAACCGCTTAGTCTCCGTCCGAGGAAATTGAGACTGGGCCGGAGAGGGCGAATGTATTTCGCCAGTGAACGCGGGGCTAGCACAACAGCACGTAAAAAAACAAAGCAGGCGCGTGTCGTAATAAGAGGCAAGCGGCCAAAGGGCCTACTGAGCCCGTGCTGCAAGTCAAGCGAGTCATGCAATCTCAGATTCATGATGTCTGTCTAAATATCCCCGATTCGTGCTGGCGGACAAGCAAACCGGGCGTTAGAAAACACGAGGCGGCACCGAGGACCATTTAAGACAAAATCATTCGGTCGCCTATTCCTGGCTCGCCTTCTCTACCGTTCTCCCTTCATCATGAACTACCTTTCAAACGGTTGTCGCCTTGGGCATGAGCACTGGCGTACAGGATACAATGGGTCCGTCCACCGCTCGGACCCAATGCCCACAACTACTGCTCACCGTGCACACACAGAAATGGTGGTCATCGGAGGCACCGTAGAGACCGCGCGACGCGTGTCCATGTCGGCTTGGAACGGGTTCGTTGACTGTGCGTACACCCTTCTGCTCGCACGTCTTGTCCCTGAACGTCACCCGTGTCAAGCCTTCTTCCTCACCGCGCACTTCAGCGAGGACGACTACCCTTATGACTGGTGCGTATCCCTCCCCACTGCCATCCTTACATCTGTGTCGCTTATACCCTCACCCAGGCTTATGCATTGGCTGTCCAAGGTCCGCGAGCGTCGCTAAGTGTGGTCATTGCATATATTGACAGCCTGTCAGCAACCCGCCTGGGGTCGCAGCCGCGAATTCGAGATTACGACGCGCAGTGTGAACCGCACGGCATGAGCGAGCCGACGACGGGAGATGTGGAGGAGGACGACGAGTGCGGGGACGATAACGACCTCGTCCATGGGAGCAGGAAACGCAAGGTGGCGTTCATGCCGAGCGCTCGGTGAGTCCAAACAAGCCCAAGCTGCTGACAAATTCTGATTTCGTGCCCTCCACCCGCCGGCTCACCCTCCATTGCTTCAATTCCTGTCAACGCGCAATAATTTCTGAAGCACAGCACCATAAGACACGATCATACGATCTACTACGTGCGTTCTCCCCTCGGAGTGCGCTCAAGATGGTTTGACCCTCCATCTCCGTTTCTAGCGCGGCCACTGGCTCAGGTAGTGTGGCGCGTTTATTCGGCCAACAAGGGCTAATCACCCGCCGCAGATAACGCGTACACAGCGTTACCGGATTACGGACACGGCGCCGCTTTGAAAGTCAGGTGCGCGCTCGGTGTTCCGAACGCATCCCACTGGCTCATTCTTCCTGTCTTCATCAGCGTCGTCGCGCGCAACAATGATATCCTGAAAAAGCTCGTCCTCGAGGCGAAGCGGGAGTACGAGAAAGACGCCGAGCACCGGTCCATATCTTCATGGCCGACACGTACGTGATTGCCATCCTTGATATCCGAACACCGCCGCCTGAACGGGGGTCCCTAGCACGTACAGCTGCTGGCGTTGGAACGGCGCTCGGCAAAAGCGGCCGATGACATCTATCGTCCTGGAGCCGGAGTGAAGGAGATGCTGCTGGCGGACTGCAAGGACTTTTTGTGCTCGGAGGAGTGGTATGCGGAGCGAGGCGAGTGAGATGAGTTCATTTGCGGACATGCCTTGACAGGGATCCACTAGGCATTCCTTTCCGCCGCGGCTATCTGCTGCACGGTGTACCCGGAAGGTGCGCCCGAGCTTCTAATATCCATGGACTGTCGCCTAACCTTCCTCTCTCTCAGCGGCAAGACTTCCCTTATTCATTCGTTGGCTGGTGAACTAGGTTTAGATATCTATGTCGTCTCTCTCTCTTCCAAGGGGTAAGCGCTCACCGCTGTCTGCTTCTGATTGATTCTTACGGAAATGAATGCATAGCATGAGTGATAACACATTGACTACTTTGATGGGCCATGTTCCATCCAGGTGAGTCATTCTCAGCAATATGCGCGCGGACTTCTGAACTGACGGCATTGGAGGTGCATTCTCTGCTTGAGGATCTCGATGCCGCGTTTACGCGCTCGGTGAGCCGTGATTCTTCGTCTAACGGAACGCCAACTTCGACATCCACAACCACCACCGCGGGCGGCAGCGCGACTCCGCCGGCTGAGTCTGACGGCTCGACTCTGAGTCTGAGCGGACGTAAGTGTCTGCCACGCGACCCAGATTGATCGTCGGGACCTCATCCTATCGCAGTTCTGAACAGTCTGGACGGGGTCGCTGCTGCCGAGGGTCGGTTGCTGTTTGCCACGACGAACCACATCGAGCGTCTCGACCCCGCGTTGAGCCGGCCCGGGCGGATGGATGTGTGGGTCAATTTCACTCACGCCACCAAGTGGCAGGCCGAGGGCATTTTCAAGTGCTTCTTCCCTCACTCAGCCAAAGCGCCGCCCGCCGAGGAGGCCGACGCGGCGAAAGACGCGTCGCAGAAGAACCTGCCTGTGCCGAAGCGCAAGGCGTTCAAGCACGCCGTTCCCATTCTAAGTGAAGCTGAGATTGTTGAACTTGCCAAGCGATTCGCAGCCGCCATCCCCGAAGACGAACTGAGTGTGCGCATGCTGTTGTCCCGGGTGCTGTTGCATGATGCTGATGCTGATGCTGGGGACAGGTCGCCGGTCTTCAAGGATACCTGCTCAAGAACAAGACCCGTCCCGCGAATGCGTCGACGAGGTCGCCGAGTGGGTCATCTCCGAGCGCGAAACTCGCGAAAAGCTCAAGAAGGAGAAAGCCGAGGTCTCTTTCTGCAGCTTCTGTGTGTGTGGTTGACCATGACTGACTCCCCTTCCTTAGCGCGAAGCCAAGGAGAAGAAGGAAGCCGAGGAGAGGGAGAAAAAAGAAGTGCGTGATCTTTGCCTGCTTATCTTTTTGGCTTACATCGTTCGCAGAAGGAGGAAAAGGAAGCCAAGGAGGTGCGTTTATCCGATTGCAGACGTGTCTTATCTGCTGACAACCACGCTCAGAAGGAGGAGAGGGAGACCAAGGAGGTGAGTTTATATGGCCTGTCACCCATCGCCGTGGATCGTGACCTCTCTTCCAGAAACTTGAGCGCAAAGAAAAGGCTAAGAAGGCGGCCGCCGCTGCCAAGAAACTCGGGGAAACCTCCGCGGCTGAGCAAACCTCCACCGCTTCGAGCAGTGAATCCGCGACGGAAAGCTCAAGCGGGGCCGATGCTGACACGGAATCCGTCGCTTCTGAGGAAGAGACGGATGACACCCCAAGAAGGAGAAATGGGTTGCGGTCAAGCCTCAGCCCCTATCGACAGCGGCAGCGGAATCGCAGACTGAAGCAGTCAGCGACGTCGAGCCGAGCGAAGAGCCCTCCGGTCCTTAAATGCATGTGAATATGCGCGCTTGCTCTGGACTGGAATGGCTGTTTGCTCCATGCTCCGCTTCCCGAAATGGGATCCCGCCGCTGAATCTGTCTCTCCACGCATCTACTGGTTCTCGATTGTGTGTGTGTGTCTGTGTGTTCGGTCGTTAGTTACTCTGTGCTTGTGATACGTTAGACGGAATGGCATCTTTCTGCGTGGCTTTCGCCGCCCGCTCTCTATCACCATCGAATACGTGACTCGTAAAAGATTGTCTGTCTATGTCGGTTTTACATTCACATCCGAAAGAGTCTTGAAAGCCTCCTTGTACGCGTCCAGCAGCGCTTTGACCCGAGTCCTCTCCGCAACCAGCCCTCATCCTCATGCAGCATCTCCTGGAACAGCTCCGGCTTGTACAGCGACGCCACCAATCGGTTCTGTACGTGGTTCGAAGTGTGGTTGACCAGCAAGTGCATAATCGCCTTCGGCACTAGATCCTGGATCGTCTGGCGGACAATGCCAAAGTAGGAGGTGATCAGAGAACGAATCAGCGAGGTCTCCATCTCTTCTCGCATCGTCAGCTGGTTGCTCTCAAACGGCACCGCCTCGATGTGCTTGCCCAAGCTCTTCATGTCAAACGCAGCATTCTGGCCGTCCACCCGTTGGCCCGACATCAGTCCAGAGGCCATCGCCATCGTCGACACCTCCCCACCGGAAAGATCCCGGCCGACAGGTTTTGCCGGATTGCTGCCAACCGCCGAACCAGAAAGCGGCCCCGGCCCATTCTGCCCAAAGAAGTAGTTCAAAAACGCCTCCCGAGCCGAAGGAGGCGACCCCCGATGCGTCATGGCGCTCATGGCAGACTGCGGCCGGGGCTGTGCGATTTCCTCGAGGTCAAAGTCGCGGGCGCTGACCCGGTTGACGCGCGAGTGCGGTCTGGCAGAGACGCTGACACAGACCGGTCCGTCTGTCGTGGAGGGAACATGCCATTAGGTAGTCCATTTTCGTCCGATGAATCCACATCGTCATCCTCCGTCCCTGTCCCATTCGTGGGTTCGGTCGAAGTCGGCTGGGTGACTTCAGAGACGGTCATACGTTTGACATAAGTGCATCACTCACCCGTAATGGCATCTGGGGTGCAGGTGGCGAACTGGCTTGTTGGGCAGCAGCGGCCGATCCAGAGATAAACGCCGGATGGTTGGTGTTGATGTATGCCGCCTGGATCGCGATGAGACTCTCCGTGTACTCTGACGTCGGTCCAAGTCTTTCTCGAAGGAGCTCAGAGACTACTTCAATCAATTTGGCATGAAGACCGGGGAATCGTTGCAGTTCCTAGTACATCTGAGTAGATGCGAGCCAATTTAGTGAAGAACTCACGGAGTGGTGCAGTTATGACAAATCTTCACCAATTCTTCAAACAAGCTCGACGCAGCGCAAACTGGGCATCTCGAGGAGCTTGATCTGAGGCTTGACGAGCAGGTCGAACGCGATCTCCGGCACAAAGAGACTAGGGCGAGGCCCAGTTGAGTTCCGGATGGCCGTTCGGATGTCCTGATTCTCAAGATTCTGAGTGGCGTCGATCGAGTCCAAGGCGCTGCCAAAGACGTCATTGAAGATGTAATAAATCCTCGCGCCGCCTGATAGCTCCTTCGTCGACACATCTACTTTTGTGCCCTCAATTGAGGCGACAAAGTCTCGCGCAAACTGGGTCATGAGACGAAGAATAAGAGCGCCTTGCTGCAGTAGACACTATCAGCAGATATCAAGCAGCGATCATAGACAACAGACTTGGTTTGATCCCCGAAACTCTCCGAGTCCCCGAACGAATTAAGCTTGTTGTGCCTGTCCCATTAACGTGTTGAGACGCGCTTTCATATCCGGAAGCTTGTCTCGTATATGATTCATCAAGACCTGAATGGGCCTTGTTAATGTGGAGAGTATAATGTGACGCGGAAAGGCAGACCTGGTTGAGAGACTTCGCCAGATACTTCGTCCCATTCTTGTGTGCCACGTTCCGGTATGCAGGGTGGGCTCTTGAAGAACTCGGACTCGCTGTTTAGCGCGTCACCCATACTTTTCTCCGAGTTGATGTCTTGCTGACTCCTGTTCACGATCCCGATGAACCCGAGCTTCAAAGGGTAGACACGCCCCGTCAGAATATCGAGCGCATTTGTCCCAGCGTCCATCAGGTCGAGCTTCGTCAGGACTCCGATCGTCCTCCTTCCTGGGGGTCAACTTGACGTGCGAGCTTGAGCGACTCCGAGTTGGCGAGATCCACATTGGCAGGAGAGACGGACAGAATGACACTGGAAAGTCATTCGAGCCGTTGCATCTCTTGAAAAATGGACGGCGGTACCTATTCGGCTTCGAAATGTATTCTAATACCAGGTTGCGAATTTGTCGCTCGATGTCGCTCGGCTGGTCACCGACAGGAATCTTCCGACGCGTCATGAAGAACTTGAACTGTATGAAAAAGGCACAAAGACTCACTTTCGTCAGCCCGGGCAATCAACCAGAGTCAGGTCCAGCACGTCCGGGCTGTAAATGCGGAGCGATATTGGCAACTTGCTGACCCCTTATTCAAGCCCGCCACCCGCAAAGTCTCCTGCTCAATCTCTTTCCGAATCTCATTGAAGTCGGTGAACTTCTTGTCGATGTGAAGGAACTGGCCCCATTCGCGAAATGTCGGGCTGCTGGGGGAGGGGTCGGTGGATTCGGGTCGGTGGATCAACTGAAGAACGAGAGGTCGCCGTGTAACAATGCCCTGACACGAGGAAGGAAATCTCGCCCGACGATACTAGCAAAGGTAAGCGAAAGGCAGGACAAAGCGGGAAAGAGAACCACACACGTCTCGAGTACGCTAGACTTTCCCGCCGATTGACTGCCCACCTGTCCTCCAAATGAGAAAGCCGAAACGACTCCTATGTCAGTTTGCACTCACAACGACGAGCTGGGGCATGTCCAGCTCACCCCCTACGCGTAAAATGTTCAATGCTCCACGATGAGGCAAGCGAGTGGCTGAGCATACCCAGGTTGCTGAATGTGTCCTGGAGCTTGTTCACGAGCTTGATGAGATCGGAGTCCATGATGGAGGAGAGAGAAGATGGGCAACGGCCCAGAAAACGCGTGAAAGTAGCGACCGTCCGCCTTGAAGCGCGTCGTCACGGCAAGTGGTCAAACTTTGGTCACTTTGGTGATGTTGGGTCACTTCCTTGATCGCGCCTCAGAGTAGTTTCCCAGTATTACTTATAACGAGAGCAAGCTACATAGCATTAAGGAAGTTGAGCAAGTCCTTGCGGTTTGCATCGCGTTCGTCGTCACCCTTTTCCTTCTTCACTTTGAGCTTGATCTGTGAGAGCCTCAAGCATCAGCATAGAATCGCAGGACGACCAGCATGGAACGGAAATGACCGACCTTCTTGCCAGTCAGAGCGCTCCTCTTCTCTTCTTTGTCGCCATCCTTAGCTCGTTCCCGCTCCTTCCTCCGTTTACGACGCTTGCGATCCTCGTCGGAACCATCTTCATCCTTGTCTCTGCGCTTGTGGTCTCTGCGTTTAGAACGGTCGTGGTCGCGTTTATCCCGGTATGATTCACGATCCTAGATGAGTCGGATAGGTTGTTGGGTTGCGTGACAGCACCTTGCGAGGTCAGAGGAGATAGGCTGGGAAAGATGGCGTCGCACAATGGAGTGGTCCGAGGGAGATAGCTCTCTGAGCTTCGGCTCCTGCTTCTGCCGTGGCCTGAAGACCGAGCGTAGTGGCGCTGCGAATTTGTATAGTTACTTTTGAAGCCTCGAGCTCTGAGGAAAGTAGCTTACAGAGCGCTGCGGGCTTGCACTTCGTTGACGCTAATGGAAGAAAAAAAACGATCGGCCAGTGGGTGGTACGCACGGAGAGCGAACCACTGAATGTCTATCATCTCTATGTCGAGAGCGATGGACGGATCGCGCGCTAGAGTTGCCATCCTGCGGTCCAGGTGAGCCTAGCCGGCCTCAAGATGTAACGGTCGGCGCCAACACACATCTGCTCTCTCGAACGTTGCCGTTCCCGCAGAGTGATTGTCATAGGTGCGACTTCGTTCCAATCCGTTTGTTGCTCGAAAGAACGACGGGTGATGCGTTACTTGGGCAGGTTCCACTTCGTCGCGCAGGACATTTGAGCGGGAAGAGGTGTGCAATTTATGGTATTCCGACAATGCTGAATCCTCTCTCCGTTCTTGTGATGTTTTCAAGTGTAACGTCGAGAAAGCGCAAGCAGAAAGTAATCAACGGACAAGGATGAGCTTTGCTTTGCTTGCATGCGTTGTGTTTTAGATCGTCCTTACCACGACGTGGGGAGGAGGTGGTTTCAAAGTTTGTCCCACCTTGACGAGTATCCCATCATTCGAGAGCTGACTGTTGGGGAACGAAGCAAACGCAGAACTGAGGGTTTCGATTCGGAAGTAAAGCCGATCATGACAGCGGCGCAAAGTAAGTGCAACACCGCTTGAGCGGCTGAGCCATATCTGAGTACTTTGTTCTTACCACTAATATTCACCCCATGAATTGTGAACTGGCAATTGCTTCTCAATTCAAGAGTTGGTTGATGTATTTACCTACCTACCATGCGATTCCGTCCTGTACGTCAACAGAAATTCAGAGAGTCCATAATCTTGCATTGAAGACCAGTTTGCGGTCTTAGGTGGTCCAACGGTCAAGATTCCTGCTGTCAAGCAGCAAAGCCTTCGGGCTTGGCTTCAACACTCGCAGGCGACGGGGTTCGACTCCCGCCTGAGAGCTCTTGATGTTAGTCAATCATGTTCAGTCCATCTTTTTATAATCCATACCAGAAGCTGTGCAAGAGCCAGATCAT